GGGGACTCTGGGAGGCCGGCGACGGGGAACCAGGGAACAGGGGACTCTGGGAGGCCGGCGACGGGGAACCAGGAGCCGGGAACAGGGCACTCTGGGGGGCCAGCGATGGGGAACCAGGAGCCGGGAGCAGGAGACTCTGGGGGGCCGGCAACAGGAAACCAGGAGCCGGGAGCAGGAGACTCTGGGGGGCCGGCGATGGGGAACCAGGAGCCGGGAGCAGGAGACTCTGGGAGCCGGCGATGGGGAACCAGGAGCCGGGAGCAGGAGACTCTGGGAGCCGGCGATGGGGAACCAGGAGCTGGGGCCAGCGACAGAGAATCGGGAGCTGGGAAATCTAGGGATCGGGCCGGCGACGGGGAACCAGGAAAAAGGGGACTCTGGGAGGCCGGCAACGGGGAACCAGGGAACAGGGGGCTCTGGGAGGCCGGCGACAGGGAACCAGGAGCCGGGAGCTGGGAAATCTAGGGATCGGGGGCTTTGGAGGAGGAGGACGAGGAAGGGACTTCAGAGGACGAGGATGAGGAAGGGACACCGGGGAACCAGGGAACAGGAACAGGACACGAGAAACCACAGGGCGGGAGAGGAGGGACCAAAACAAAAAAACAACCCACAAAGGCAGGCGAGGAGGGACCAGGGGACTTTGGGAGGCCGGCGACGGGGAACCAGGGAACAGGGGACTCTGGGAGGCCGGCAACGGGGAACCAGGGAATAGGGGACTCTGGGAGGACGAGCAAGAGACTTCAGAGGACAAGGATGAGGAAGGGACTTCAGAGGACGAGGAGGATTTCCTCCAAAGTCCCCGATCCCTAGATTTCCCAGCTCCCGGCTCCTGATTCCCCGTCGCCGGCCCCCCAGAGTCTCCTGCTCCCGGCTCCTGGTTCCACGAAGGGACTTCCTCGTCGTCCACCTCCAAAGCCCCCGATCCCTAGATTTCCCAGATTCCGGCTCCTGATTCCCCGTCGCCGGCCCCCCAGAGTCTCCTGCTCCAGGCTCCTGGTTCCCAGAGAAACCACAGGGCGGGAGAAGAGGGACCAAAACAAAAAAACAACCCACAAGGGCAGGCGAGGAGGGACCAGGGGACTCTGGGAGGCCGGCAACGGGGAACCAGGAAAAAGGGGACTCTGGGAGGCCGGCAACGGGGAACCAGGGAACAGGGGGCTCTGGGAGGCCGGCGACGGGGAACCAGGAGCCGGGAGCTGGGAAATCTAGGGATCGGGGGCTTTGGAGGAGGAGGACGAGGAAGGGACTTCAGAGGACGAGGATGAGGAAGGGACACCAGGGAACCAGGGAACAGGGGACTCTGGTAGGCCAAGTCAGAGGACGAGGAAGGGACTTCAGAGGATGAGGATGAGGAAGGGACTTCAGAGGACGAGAAGGATTTCCTCCAAAGTCCCCGATCCCTAGACTTCCCAGCTCTCGGCTCCTGATTCCCCGTCGCCGGCCCCCCAGAGTCTCCTGCTCCCGGCTCCTGGTTCCATGAAGGGACTTCCTCGTCGTCCTCCTCCAAAGCCCCCGATCCCTAGATTTCCCAGCTTCCGGCTCCTGATTCCCCGTCGCCGGCCCCCCAGAGTCTCTTGCTCCCGGCTCCTGGTTCCACGAAGAGACTTCCTCGTGCTCCTCCTCCAAAGCCCCCGATCCCTAAATTTCCCAGCTCCCGGCTTCTGAATCCCCGTTGCCGGCCCCCCAGAGTCTCCTGCTCCCGGCTCCTGGTTCCCCGAGAAACCACAGGGCGGGAGAGGAGGGACCAAAACAAAAACAACCCACAAGGGCGGGCGAGGAGGGACCAGGGGACTCTGGGAGGCCGGCAGCGGGGAACCAGGGAACAGGGGACTCTGGGAGGCCGAGTCAGAGGACGAGAAAGGGACTTCAGAGGATGAGGATGAGGAAGGGACTTCAGAGGACGAGAAGGATTTCCTCCAAAGTCCCCGATCCCTAGATTTACCAGCTCCCGGCTCCTGATTCCCCGTCGACGGCCCCCCAGAGTCTCTTGCTCCCGGCTCCTGGGCCACAAAGGGACTTCTTCGTCGTCCTCCTCAAAAGCCCTCGATCCCTAGATTTCCCAGCTCCCGGCTCCTGATTCCCCGTTGCCGGCCCCCCAGAGTCTCCTGCTCCAGGCTCCTGGTTCCCAGAGAAACCACAGGGCGGGAGAATAGGGACCAAAACAAAAAAACAACCCACAAGGGTGGGCGAGGAGGGACCAGGGGACTCTGTGAGGCCGGCGACGGGGAACCAGGGAAAAGGGGACTCTGGGAGGCCGGCGACGGGGAACCAGGGAACAGGGGACTCTGGGAGGCCGGCGACGGGGAACCAGGAGCCGGGAACAGGGGACACTGGGGGGCCAGCGACGGGGAACCAGAAATCTAGGGATCGGGGGCTTTGGAGGAGGAGGACGAGGAAGGGATCTTTCTGAATTGCGTTCAAATGGCACTCTGTAGACCTGCTTCATCCTGAGATGATATCTGCGCAAGACATGGTCCAGTGTTGATAAGCTTACCCTATCAATATTTTTAAACATGTCATTGTTTTCTAATATTTTTCTTTGTATTTGCCGTAATGTTATGGCATTGTTTTCTAGGACCAAGTTCATGATTTCAGTTTCCTGTTCCCACCTCGTTTTGGTAATCTTTCAGTTCTGCCAAACAAATAGTAAAATATTGTGAATACAAAGTAGGTATACATTTCCTAAATACTGGAAACATACTTTACAGTATTTTTACTGTCCAACAAAACAGTCCACAGGCAACATCACTTCTATTCTCCTTGAATACTGATTGTACTGATTTGCAATGCTGCCATTTTCTATTGAGAGAAGATTTCTTACCTATTTGCATTTCGGAAAGTCCGGATGATAGTTGCTACAGTTCACCTGCTCAAATTTGGCTGAACTCTTTGCCCAGCCTCCCTCATTGTAAGACCATTGTTGACCACACGATCAACCAAAGTGGCTCGGATCTCATCAGAGATTGCGGCCCTTGGTCCTCTCTTACTCTCACTCCTCTGGCTCTGCCTCTGTTTCCAATGTTGGCATCCATTGCTCCAAAACAGAAGAGCTCACCTGTTGCCCTTTTATGCTAAAGCTCTGATTGCTAATTGTAAAATTGTGTGACAGGTGTTTGCCCTTGTGATGAGTCAGTGTGCATATTTGAATAGCAGTGTGTTCCTTGTGAAAACAAGATATTTTCTGCATGAACATTGTGCCAACAGCAGAGAAGTGTGTGTAGTGTACAATTATGAAATCCTGCAGCACTATCACTTGTACTGCTTCGTTTTCACACAGAACAAGACCCCCCACACGCACACACGCGTGCACACACACCCACACCCACACACAGCCTGAAGCGCAGAATACAGAATACAGAATATCAGCAGGGGGACAGATTGAGACAGAACATCATGCGTCTGTGACAGTGTGTCCTGTCACTGTGACCCGATTGATCATGCGCCCTGGCTACTTGTACAGGGGAGATCTCTGTTTGGCTGACTGGTTAGTGTACATGACTTTCACCTGGGAGTCTGGGGATCAAATCCTGATTGGACCATTTTTTTTGTATCCACCACAGATCTCTCTGAAGAATTCAGCATTGACAGCTTCAGCAACGCTGTGCCACTCCATGGATTTTCTCTTATTTGTTTTGCAAAAGCACTTCCTTTCATTTCTCCACCTCACCCACAGGTACCTCAATTTCTGTTTCTGTGAAATAGCGCTTGCTTGATCTGTCTTGATCTACGGTCGCCATCGTCATTGGCGGAGCGCTGCAACAGCCGGCTTATGTATATGCATGAGATCCACAAGGCACTTTGCATTGAATATTTATGGCTGTAAGTGGGCGTGGTGAGGGCGGGATGTGACTAAAATGCAGCTGCGAAACATTCTCGTTAGTCTCCGATTTATGAAGCAGAGATTGCGTGCAGCTGTGCGTACTCCATGTTTGATAGGTCACACACCTGCTTGGTGTAAGTACTTTATTTTGTGCTGAGCTTAAAGAGCGGGTCAATTGAGCCTCGGAGTCCTTCTCCACCCACGTATCAATTTTAAAAAATGCAACATTAGTAGGCGTTGCCTGGAGGACCGAGAGGGCGGAGCCGCGGCAGTGACGAAGACGACGGCTAACTAGAAGATGCTAGCTCCCTTCACTCTATGCAGTTATTAGAAGTGGAGGATGTTTCTCCCCCTCCTTACCCAGACACTCGGGAAGAAAGGGACCAAGTCTATTTGGAGGAGACAAGCGGACCTGAGCCTTATTGTTGTGAGCTTGTGAGTTGCCTGTAACTCCCAGAACCGACCCAACAAAACCACCTCTGAACGTAAGTAGCCGTTAGCCATAGCATTGGATTAGCTGCAGGGTTTGTCTCCACGGCCCCCAGAGCTAGTATTCAGCATGTTTTAGAGGTTTATCTGCTTCAGCACACCTGGTTTTAATCAGCAACAAATAGCTGAGCTGCTTAACAGTTAATCTAACCTGTTAAAGCAGGAAAATCCACTGAAACATGCTGGATAGCAGCTCTCCGGTAGCTCTGGGCTCAAGTTACAGTCTGCTGCATAAAGTTATGAAAATGCCCCATGAGAAAATTATTCTGTAATGTGTTCAGCTCACTAAAACTGCCCTGGTTTATTTATTTACTGATAACAGCTGCTCTCTTGGTTCTAGGTCCTCTGGTGTCTGCAGCTGGTCTCTGGTGTCTGCAGGTGGTCTCCTCTGCTGGTGTCGTCAGGATCAGGAACTTCCAGAAGAATGTGCCTTTCAATGACTCTTTCCCCCTTATTTGTTATATTAATTAAATAAATCTCATTTTATATATTATATATTTCCTGTTTTTGTTCATGTCCATAAATACTTAAACATGCTTGAAATTAAAACGAGCTTTTAACAGTGAGGTGCTAGTTTAATTCATCACAATAGAGCAAGTTAAACATGCATTGTGATAATTCAATTAATGTAATTTATAAATATCCATTAAAATATCAAAACTGGAATCTATGAGATATTTGGCAGCACAAAAAACTTGTCAAACACAATATTTATTATAATAATTGTGGGCAGACAGGAGACAGAGCTGATGGAGGTTCTCAGTCATCGAAGGATGGCTGAAGGCTTTCCAGGAACAGGAGATGTGGTGTTGTCTCTTCTCTCTCTATTCTGCCAGATGAGCTGATAGGTTACAGGTGTGTGAGGACATCCTCATGCTGTCATAACCAGATGACAGGAGTTATCAGGTGATCAGCCAGGCTAATGAGATGCAGAAAGAAAACAAATTCAGGACAGTGTACAATATGTGGTGTTGCTCACCTTATGTGCTCTTATAGAGTTATTAACGTGTGCCTGCCTCATGGTGTAGAGTCCATATTTTGCTGAGTGTCCTGCAATAATGCAGGTTATTAGTTAATTTACTTTTGATAGCAAAAACAAAATATTTTATGTAAAAGTTGTTTTCCAGGTGAATCAGCTCACACGTCACCACCAAGTGTCACGGGGGCAGAATCAGTAGCCTCCTTCATGATGTCATGATGTAATACATACTTATTTAATTGTTAATATCTTAAAAATTCTGAAATGTTTTAATTTTTTTTTTTACCTTGAACAGTTCACTGAGCTTGCACTGTCACTGAGGTGGAAGCTGGAATCAACAGCAGACACCTCACATCTTGGTCTTTTCAGGGGGTGTGGCCGCTGCTCTGGGACCTTCTGGAAGATGAATTTTCATCATGGTCCCCGTGGGTCACCAGACACACTGCGGCTGTGAACTCCATTCTGGCTGGCTATGTAAAAACAAAGAAGCAGCACATTTATAAATGTTTAAAAGAGCATAAAATCACGTATAACAATAATCTGTAAAACAAATTAAAACTAGAAGGTAATAATAAAATGTTTACATAGAAGATTATTAAAAATAATTCACCTTTGCTTCGCCTGGACAAGTGCATTCTTGCAGCTAAATCAGTCTGACAGCCAGTGTCTTGGGTAGATTTAGCCTGAAAAAAATATATAAGCACATTGTTGTTGGGAGTTTATAAAGTCAGATAATATACAAAAGAAACTGTCCTATATAGGCGCTTTATAACATTCCTAGTGTGTGATCATTATAACGTAAAAGTCAGTCACATATGATATGGAGAGCCTGAAATGCGACCTCCTGAACAGAATTCCTCACAGAACCTGTTCACAAGCTGGATTTCATGCTGTAATGCTGTCTGTCAAGTGCTGCGTCAGTTAGAGCCACTGTTGCAGAATTGCCGACTGACTAGCTAAAGGAAGTGAACCACGTCTCTCAGACTTTGCATTTAGGTAGGGAATTGTCTTTAGAAGATGTTAAAACGTTTATTTAGCTTACTCACCTCAGACTGGAGCCCGCCATGGTGGGGGAGCAGAGTCGGTGGGCTGCATCTAAATCGCGGAAGAGCCACGGTGGGCAGCCTCCCTCTTCAAACGGAGACGTGCAGAATCGCGGGTAAAATGCCCACAGAGTCACCGCAAGCATACTACACTACACCTACTCACCAATACTAAGACGATATGGAGCACTAAACCCGAAATACTTTCCCAATTACACTAACAGCCAAACACTAACTAAACTACAATATCCAACAGCCAAATCTAACACTAAATAAGTATTTATAACACTAAAAGATATGCTAAGACTAGGATATGCTAATGCTATACGCTAATGCTGAACTACCGCTGACCTCCTACACTCGCTTGCAAATCCAACTCCCAACTCGCCACAGGGCGTGGCCAAGACGCTCGTTGCTTTTATAACTTTGGCACGGAGCTGCTACGTAGTACTCTACTGGTTTACGTAGTACTTTACTCTTTAGCCATTGGCTAAAATTTATTCAAAAAGACTCAAATTCTATGTTTTCAGCTGAAGGTGGCGCATTACTGTGGTTTTTAGACAGAATTTTTAATTTTTAAAGAAAATGCACCAAAATGCTAAAATAAAGAATGCACACATTTAAAACACTATTAGACACTCATTTATACAGTTCATCAGCAAAAAAAAGTTAATTTAGACGTTACTTGCTCTTTAAGTACGGTTTTAGTAAGGATTCTACACAATGTTTGATAAATGAGATCCCACAGTTTGCGTGGAAAGTTGCTTACGCAGTTTTCCGACACTGTTTTGTGCGTAAGCAAGCTTGATAAATGAGGCCCCTGGTTCCTGCAGCAGTCTTGTCATTCTGCTTCCTTCTTGGAGTTCCTGGAAAAATGTTTGGCATCATCCTTAAACCTAACTGGAAGCATTTATCCAGTCTGAGCCAGAGTTTGCTGCTGAATCTGGCCATCTGTGACCTGCTGGTAATGCTCGCCCTTCCGGTATGGATTTACTCTTTTTTTCCATGGCTGGATCTTTGCTGTGGTGGCCTGTAAGCTTTTAGCATATACCGAGTACCCCACCATTTATGCAGCCTATTTCTATGGCTGAAATTTTCATTTAATATAATAATAAGAGTCTGAAACAAATCTTACCTGTGTTGTTGTTGCTGATCATGGAGATCTGATGGTATCTTTAGAACATGGGGTGTGTACTCTGGAGCAGTTTGTAGTGTGAAACAGCCACCGTGAGAGTAAACTCCTTCAAGTCCAGGGCCATGGTTCTCAGTTGGGATGATTCAAAGGTCAGTCTCTGCCTCTAAAGTTTGATATTTAGCAGAAAGCAGCAAGACATGAAGAGATTCATTAACATAAATCAGGGTTGGCTGGACTCCGCTTCAGATTTAGGGTGAGAAACTCAGAAGAAGACACAAAGAACTGCTGATCCTTTGTATTAAAATTAAATTAAAATCTCGTCTACACACGTCATCTAGAATCTTCTTGCCGTAACTGGCGACAGCCATGAAAGTCGAAGTGGTGAGAAAGTAACTTTTGTGTTTTGAAAATGGGCTGCAGTAACCAAATTTGACCACAAGATGGCATTAGTGTTTCATTCTTATATAATGCACGTTTAAAAAGTTCTGTATAACAAAGTTTTACTTACATAGATTTGTTCAGATTTAAAGCCATTGTTTGTTAAATGAAAGGGCCAAAAATGCAAAAGTGATGGATAAGGTTTCTGTCTCTTTCCATCTACAATTTCCTGTTTTTTTAAAAGTTCCTCTTTGGTATAAAACAAAAGACACGTTTACCACTGTCAGTAGCTCAGAACAAATCGTCACACAATGGATCAACCAAATTCCACCATGGCTACTTTCAACTTCACCTCTTCTGCAGGACCTCATCCTTCCTGGGACTCCAGCGGTCTGGTTCCTGCGGTGATGTTGTCCCTCGTCTGCGTTTTGGGAGTTCCTGGAAACATCGCTGTGATCATTCTTAAGCCCAACTTTGCGAGAATGTCCAGTCTGAGCCAGTCTTTGCTGCTAAACCTGGCCATCTCTGATCTGCTCTGCCTGATGACCCTTCCTCCGTGGATTTATGCTTTCCTGTACGGCTGGCACTTTGGCGTGGTCGCCTGTAAGCTTCTAGCATACGTTGAGTGCTGCACCATTTACGGTAGCCTTCTCACTGTGACCGGACTAGGCATTCAACGCTACCTTGTTGTCGTGCACCGGCAGAGCTGTCAACAGACTGGACTGCTGCTGGCTCTGCTCTGGCTGGTGTCTTTCACCCTGTCCACTCCGTCTTTGGTGACTCGAAGCGTTAAAAATCAACTGTGGCCAGACTGTCAAGACCAGTACTCTTCTGATTCCCAACAGATAGCTTCACTGATGACAGAGACCACGTTTGGATTTCTTTCCTTTATTATTGTGGCTTTTTCATACATTCAGATCAAGAGAACTGTTAACCAGTCAGCCTTTTTCAAATATCCACAGACGACCAGACTGGTTACCAGCATCATCGTAAGCTTATTTGTCCTGTGGGCTCCATACCACATTGTAAACATTTTGGGTGTGGTTGCCATTTGCCTCAAAAATGAAAGCCTTTTGAAGTTTTATAAAGACACAAAGAACATTGTAGGATCGGTAACATTCACAAACAGCTTCCTGAATCCATTCCTGTATGCTTTTGCATCTGGTAAAATCAGCATGAGCTGTCGAAAACATAAACCAGTAACGCAAATGGAAACAATCTCTCAGGTAACAGAAGTTTCTACAGTTGCAGAACTTTGCCAGTGACAATATTTAGAAATGTCATTTCTCACTGCGTAAAAGATGATGATGGTGTGGGTTTGGAACAGTTCTTGAAGTTGAAGAAAGTAAGTGCTGGTACTACCATTAAGAGAGACAGAATATTTGTTCTGTAGTTTTGGAAATGTCAACTGATAAACTGCACGAAAAAGTGTCGGCATGTGCGGGTACCAGAAGTTCAAAATAAAATCGGTTATATGATGTAATCATCTATTTGTCACAACACGACTTACATAATACACATTTTAATGATTTATTGCGATGTAAAAATACTTTTTTTAATTTAATTTACCTTTATTTATCTTTGCTGTTAATTACCAAATAGATTCTGACTATAAGTTGAACCCATTTAGTTCCTCTTTGGTTTAGTTTGCATCTAAACAGGTTCCTGTTGAAGATGTGTCTTCTCTTTGACATTTTAGTGTCTACAATAAAACTTTTATATGTCAATTAGTATTTCACAGGAAATGTTGCAGTTCGCTACAGTAGGAAGTTACACAAATGACAATAAAGTATCTTTAAAAATTATACTGTGACTTTTAAACAACTTATTGTTTTATTTATTCGCCTGACACAGAAACAGGGTTTCATTTTGTCTCCTGGAAAGTGTTTCTTCATAAATTACTTTATCTGTTTTAGTCTTTTCATTGAATTTTTTTCTTTTCTTTAACATTGAATTTAAATTTAAAGCTGGGACTGAGATCAGTTTTGCTCTTTATAGAATATTTGTTTATTGAGTTCCTTCTTAAAAATAGGCAACGACTATTCATTCATTCATTCTAAAACCCAACTGTTGCTGTAGAGATGACGTCAACATTGATGATTGTGGTTATTATGTAGTGCATAAACATCCAGGGCAGACACAACCAGTTGGAGTAAGGAAGTTGTCTCTATTGTTGTTTCGTTGGACTAGGACAGTACATTTGTGTGTAATGCGGTTCCAGGGATTCACCAGCAGTTAGGTGATCTGAGTTTGTCTGTAAAACCTACCCTTAGAAACCTTGGAGTTTTCTTTGACAAGGGAATGTCTCTTGAACATCACTCAAAGCAGTTAACTAGAAACTGTTTTTACCACTTGAGACAAATTTCTAAACTCAGAACAATGGTGTCTAAAGTTGATCTTGAGTTGATTATTCATGCGTTTACATCATCCCGTTTAGACTACTGTAATAGTTTATTTTCTTGTCTAAACAAAAAAGAGCTGTCCCGCTTACAACAAGTCCAGAATTGTGCAGCTAGAATTCTGACCCGTGACAACAGAAGGGCCCACATTACCCCCATTTTAAAAGCTCTTCATTGGCTTCCAATCTCATCTCGCATCAATTTTAAAATTCTTGTGCTGACTTTCAGAGCGCTGCTTGGTCTGGCTCCATTGTATGTTCGAGACATGCTCTGCCCTTACACGCCTTCTCGCAGGCTGAGATCTCTGGATCAAAACCTTTTAATGGTCCCACGTACTCAGTTCAGGACACGAGGAGATCGCTCATTCCAGGCCGTCGCTCCTAGGCTCTGGAATGAGCTACCTCTGTCTTTACGCTCAATCGACTCAGTTGATGTTTTTAAGAGCAATCTTAAAACCCATTTGTTTCTCCAGGCATTTTAAACTTAGTCTCATTCGGATTGGTTGTATTTGACACTATGTATATTGTGGCTGTATTTTACTGTATTTATATGTTGTTGCCTTTTAACTTGTGAAGCACTTTGTGACCTTTTTGTCTGTGAGAGGTGCTATACAAATAAAGTTACTTACTTACTACTTACTTACTTACTTGTGCTTTTACAATAGCCTTCTCAATTTTCTTCTGAAAATCTTCACAAGGTTTGGTTACTAGAATTAGGGAACATCGAGAGCAAAAGCAGAAGAGATAAAGAGAAAAAACAGAACTTTCAGTCTTTCAACCAATAAAGAAGGTCTTCTTTTAATTTTCTGTTTGTTTTTCAAACACAAAATGTGTGCAGTTGTTTCAGCTGCGTAACCAGTACAAATTAAATAAAAAATCCTTTAACAGTTTACCAATTTAGTTCTGATTTCAAGTTAAAGATCACCTGTTATACTCCTCAGTGAAAAAAATGATGTCAATATTTTATCAACATTAAAATATTTGCCTGTTTCACAACTGTAACAAAGCCTTTCACCAGCAGATGGCAGGCTATTTCCATTTATAAACCATTTATTCAGAACAAAAACAGACAATATTTCCATTCCAGTTTTACCGTAAACTGATGCAAATTTAAATGTGTTCAAAATTCTAAACTTATCTTCAATAAGAACAAGGGCATAGTCAACAAGTCCCATTTTTGGTTCTTTTTTAAAACGCAGGAAAGGTTTCTCTTTACCTTGCTTCAAACGCCATCTTCTCATAAACAACGAAGATGGCGTTTGAAGCAAAGTAGAGAGAAACCTTTCCTGCGTTTTAAAAAAGACCAAAAATGGAATTAGAAGCCAAACACTGAAAGAACGTTCCAAAGTTAGTCAACAAGTGTGCAGATAACTGAAGAATTTGGACAGTGAGCATCAACCTGCACCACGGTGTCGTTTCTCTGCAACTTCCTTCACCGTTTGTGCTGATTTACTGCTTTAAATAAAACTGAATATTTTAAAAGTGAATTAATTGTTGGTGTACAAAAATACACACTGAGACCACTATCATATAGTGATATTTTTCAACACATGCATCTTTCCAAATGACAAACATTTGATTGTAATTATATTTTACACAATAAGAAAATATTGTATATTTTGATACACTTAAAAATACACATTTTAGGAAAACACATGTTGGGTATTTTTATAATTGTACCTTTTTGAGGCCTAAAAGATGCCCATTTTGTGTTATTAACACAAAATGAATCTCTATTTTTGCCAACTGTTGCTGTTCATGAAAGGTTGAGCAAGGATGTTGATTGTGGGTTTCCAACTGAAAACTGTACCTCTGTAACCTGAGAAGGCCCGCCTTCTCCCCCATCCTTTGCTGAATAAAGCCCCTGGGAAACTGAGGAGACGGGGGAGTGACGGGGGAAAAGCCTCGGAGGAGGTTTTTCCCTGTGTTAACTCTCCTTTATTTTGGGGACTCAGGGTAAAATGTCTTCCATGTTGTCAAGAGTGTTTATTTCAGGTTCCAGGGTTATGGAGATTAAATATTACCCCACATGTAATTACCTAACATCTTGGTGGAGAATGCGGGCATGCAGAGCTGGAAAGCTGAAGGCTTTCCCCAGGAGCAGATGGGGCCTGGTTAGCTCCATGGAGGGGGTTTCTGTGCCCAGCTCTCGCATGACGATTCATGGACATTACAAATAATCTCTCTCTGTGTGTGTCGTCCTTTAAGGTAATATGGGATAAATCTAAAATTACCTATCAACACATGTGAGTCATTTCTTCCCCTTCTTCAAAAATTCCAATATAGCATTTATGATTGTATGATTTTGGGTCATTTTCTTCACCATAGCTAGTCATCTGTCTCTAGGAAGGTACAAAGGAAATCCACTCGCCACAGCAAGGATGAGAAATAAAACCTCTAGCCCCAAGAGCGAGTCATCAAACAGCTAAAGGTGGCTCATCAGAAAGCGAGAGAAGAAAACTTAAAGTTGCAACTTTCTGTGAGAAAATATTGCTGGATGAAAATAATCTTTTCAACAAAAAAGTCATTTAAAGATTGGTCAGATGTTTGGTGGGGTCTAATTTTTTTCAGTCTGACACTGAACACAGTTGTTCCAAAAACATGTTTAATATTCACCAATACATGCAAACTGCACACATACAGGAAGAGGCCCATGTAAACAATAGAATTCTCATTTTCTACCTCAACAACACCCAATGTCAAGAAGTTTTAGCGTAGCGGAGGTGATAATACACCAAGACAGATTGTCAGCGCATCGGGAAAACAAAAATCCAAAGTGTGGACCGTTTTGGGGTTTCCTAAAAACGAAGGGAAGTTCGACAGAAGCGATGCTATTTGTGAACTGTGTTGATCGTTGTTGACCTACACTGGCAGTACTACAAATCTGGACCAGTGTGCAAGGAAGCACAGCCAAGGGTATGCTGAGTACCTTTCACAGGTCAAAAAGCAGCTGTTTGATTAATTTTATAAGTATATTTTGTTTTCTATAATTATTTACATGAAGCACTAGTCACTGTGTTAAGTACTGAGATAAGAACGTTGCTGCTGCTTTGTCCTTCCACTCTGGCTCAGCAGGCCTGAGGCTACATTTTGAAATGACCAACAGGGGTAATCGTTATAAGGTTATTATTACTTTGTTTATAAGTGTGTAACTTGTTTACATTGATATGCTGCACCTATTACCTATCTCTGGTGTTCAAAACACTCAGCTCAGACTGAAATGATGCTCGTCGTAATTATTCAGTACTAGGGATGGGTACCTTTGACATTTGAATCGATCCGGTACTAATTCCCGGTACCTAGGAATCGATACCGGTACTTAACGGTACCAATTTTCGATACTTTGGAGTGTTTAATATTTTAATTCTCTTTTATAATTAAATATATTTTTTTCTCAATATATAACCATATTTGATAAATATCACGATAAATAACATACAACTGTTTGTATTTTAACATCGTCCTTGTAGTTTTATAAGCTGATAATTAAACTGAAGCAAACATCTTTAGTGTGAACTAAATTTACTGTGTATCTTCATTCCTTTTGCCGTCCTTTTTCATTAGATTTTTCCTACTGGGAAGTTAGAATTTCCGAGGAGAAAGCGAACGCACCATTAGCTGATAACATTGGTAGCAATGGAAGCTAACATATCAAGCTAAGGTTATCTTAACAGTTTATTTAGCTGCTGGAGCAGATTAAAACGATGATGCCTCACACTTAGATCGTTGTCGCTGGTTTCATCTTCACCCAATCACCCGTCACATTTAGTAAAGTGAAGCCAAACTTTAGAGCGCGTTCATGTTCTTCTAGTCGGAAATTCGGGGTTCCGAGGAGAAAGCGAACGCACCATTAGCGAAACGCGAGCTAACATATCAAGCTAACGTTATCTTAAACATTTTATTTACCTACCGGAGCAGATTAAGATGAGGATGTCTCACTTAGATCGTTGTCGCTGGTTTCATCATCACCCAGTTACCCATCTCATTTAGCGAAGTGGACCCAAGCTTTAGCGTGCGTTCTTTCTACCATGCTGCTCTGTTTACAACTGGCTCGCAGCAACCGATGACATAACGCTCTTGCGCATGCGCAGCTGTCTAGGCAAGTTCTCGTTATGAAGGACGGGTACCGAAACGAGGCACCGTTTCAAATGACGTGAATCGGTGCTC